TCAATTTTGAAATAAAATCCTAAAAAAACCAATAATAGCAAAAGTGAAGCAGCAAACCAATCACGAGAACACAATCCAAACAGTTCTCTCTCCATTATGGCATTCAATTGTAATATGCTGCAAACAACCAAACATAGAGAAGAGCAATACCAGCACCATGCCATAGAAAAAGGAAGTAGTAGGAAAAATATTGTCACAAAAAAGGAACCACTTTCAGTTGTAAGAAGTTGTGCAAGTGATATTTTGGTGGAGGCTGGAAACCAAAGGACCTAAGACAACCAACAAGATAGTCTAGCGCAATTTTAAAAAAAAAAAGGAAGAACAAGACAAGTTGACAGATCCGAAGTACATAACTGTATCTGGCATGGGTGCACCAATATTGCCTTGCATTTGTCCTGCTTTGTAATTACAATAACGAGATCCCCTAGAAAATAATTCACCAGGCAAAAATCAAGATCTCGATCAGCTAGCAAAATTGACAGACAAGAAAAGTCAGATTAGCAAAATAGGGGAGACTGGAAAAGTGGTCATACTTGAGGGTTGAATCTACATCAGCTACTAAAAGCATACCTTGCTGTACAAAAAAGGGTAGACAAAACAACAGTTCACTTGATCTTTACAATATACTTCAAGCAACCAATCCCGGCGAAATCTCCAAGAACAGAAAAGCAAAGATGTATATTTTCAGGTTTGCCAAAATTAGCCATAAATAAATGGAAAAACCTGACAGATTCCTCTCCAATGGAACCTATAAGAATCATAGGAATAAGTACAACATACGACACTTTCGGTACACAAAATAACATCCGTGGAAAAGCAAATAATAACAAAAATATTCAGAGTAGCAAAAGCAAACCAATCATTGACTCCATGATCTGAACACTTCTTCCCATAACACAATCCAGTTGTAATGCACTACAAACAACATGAAGAAAGAAGCCACAACAACACACTGAGAAAAAAAGGAATAAATATAAACAAAAAAAACCCAGTCAGAAAGGGCAAACTCCCTTTTTTTTTATTGTTTATATGTTGTGGAAGGGGTATCTCGTGGAGGACAATGGGGAGTTGGAAGGGGGAATACACAGTCCCAAAGAAAAAACATGCATTGTATTACATGTACTCAGCCTTACAGTAATCTTCAAGGAAAAATCGAGAATTGGGAAAGCGACAGCTAACAAATTAGCATATACAGGAAAATGCAGGTTCAATCTGAAGCAATCGCTCCAAAAGCATTCCCTTCCCCAACATAGCAAAGGCAATGGAATCCACACCAATTCATTTAATCTCTATAGTAGAATTCGGGCTACAAAGCAAAACAAAATCCCCATGATAGAAACAGAAAGATTTTGATATTTTCAATCTAAGAACCAAAAGTAACCGTGCCTAAATAGAAACCTCCTGATCGATTCCGCCGCAATAAGATAACACCCCAATGCTTGAACTGCAGGTATAAAAAATATGTGCAATAGGTTAAATAGTTATTTATCAATACCAAATATGGTTTACGCAATCACCAACTACAAGATCCAAAGGATTAGCTCAATCCAAATGCAGTACTCTACAGAAAATCAGAATAGAGAACAAACACAACGCCACCATGGGAGAGAATACAGTAAATTGAAAAAACCTAGTCAGTAAGTGTAAAACTCTATTTCTTTGAGTCTTCTTTATGTTGTGGACTGAGAGAGAGGAAATAAAAACCAACAAAAACAAGAAAGCACCATTCTCAGGACAAAGCCCAAGTACATAGCTGAACCTAGCACACGTGCACCAACACCTCCTTGCATTTGTTCAGCCTCACACCTACTAAATCACTTATAGTCAACACACAACACAAAAATTATAAACCAGTGAAAGATAGCCAATAGAACAATATATAGGAAAAGACAGGGCCTGGTAAAAGAGAAAGACCCAGGCAGAAAAGTACATGTGTACACTAGTTGAATCTGCAGCAGTTCCTCCAAAAGCACAGCCTTCCCCAAACAGTCCCATCATAACGCAACTTCTTGCACCACTGAGGCCTCTCTTTCAAACAAATCGCTCCTCTACTTAAAACTAACAATGTTCATTTCCATCACTAAATTCTTAATTTCTTATACATCGTTTCACATCACAGGAAAAGCACAAAATCCAATATCAAGTGGAATTTAGGATAAGATGATGAAGATTAGAGAAAATATAAGTGAACCAAAGGGTAGAATAAAACATTTGGTGATCCAGACACATCTTGCTCGCTAACAATAGTGAACTTTTAATCTTAACATTGAAAGCAGCACAGTATACCACTTCAATGTGCAAAATAACATAGCATGAGCCATCGATATAAGAGGCAGTGAATGGTGCCTTGTAAAATTGTATTACCGCAATGTGCCAAACTTGGCCAAGAAATCCGTTGTTTCACCATCTACTTTTTCCCTCACAAGACAACAATAACCTCAATATCTTTCAAAAAACTTGCACGATGTGATAACTAATAAGGCGCTCCATGGTGTTGACATCAAGGAAAAATAAAAGTATCAATAGATGATTAGGTGAAAACTAGATAACATGAGTGCGAAGATTTGGAGTAAATGTCATGGGAGTAGTGTCGTGCTCGTCGTGCAGTAGCAGCAGCAATGTCATGTACTTGTTGGCCATACAACCTGTGTAGTTGTAATAGTTGTAAATTGACTAATAAATAAAATGCTACAATGATGTAAATTAATCCTCGTGGGGTTTTCCAAGCTATGATAATCATTGTTTATTGGGGTATCAAAGGGACATCCATAAAGAAGGATGTCTTTTCCACACACGCTTTCTCAGTGCACAACTTACCTTGTTGCCTAGAGTCCAGAACAGAGCACAGTGCTACAACCTCACACGGTACGCAGCAACAGAAACCACCATTCTAAAGCACCAAAAAACATTTCCAAAATTCTACCAGCAAAGTCGTCAAGCATGGATTAAGATATTTCCTTGCTGCTACACCCGAGCAGCACAAACCACAAAAAATTACACAGAAATGGCGTTCTTAGGCTCATGAAGTTAATTCATCAATGCAAGAATTCTGGCTACGACACAGGAGCAAAAAACATTTCAAAAGAATGAAAATTTTGTCAACTGTGGGAATGGCAACGAAAAAAGGAAATTATAAAAGACGAGGAAAGTCGAGGCCCATGCTGGACCTTCACTTGCTAAACCCGATAAGAGCAACCATCCAAAATTGAAACAAGTCAACTCAAACACCTAGAAGTTAACCCTCTAAATGCCATTGAAAAATCACAATGTTGGAATAGAAGTGTTGATTAATTCCATCAGGGACCCAAATAGAAGTGTTGATTAAATCTGGAAATGACAATAAGAAAAGAACATAACGCAAAGACCACCACCTCAGATGGTACTTAAATTTCCTGTATATTCGATGCCCTATCAAAAGAAGGGGATTGGAAAGCCATGGATCACCCCAACACAAAAACATTGAATTTGAAATAGGTCAACTACCAGAAACAAGACTAATTCCAAACAATCCATGTCCACTAATTCACAGGAGTGATGCTCTTAGATAGATGAAAACATCCTTATTTCGTGAATAAAAATCCTGTTAAATAAAAAGGGTTCTTGCAATCAACTCGTACAACCATAATACGTCTACTTTAACCAGATAGCAAACCCTCGGCCCCAAGAAAACCAAGGGAGAACATTGTACAGTATATGCAACGAGAACTGTGATCCATATCAAACATATAAAGTTAGATCCCCATAAAACAACAGACCAACCAAAAAGATACCCCAAATCAAATAGGCAATCACTAATCTAAATCAAAAAATAGGAACAATGAGTTCAGAAAACAAGATATAAGACCAACTGAACCACTAGTATGGACTTCCTAAGGGACAGATCAAAGGCAGCTAATGCAATTTTGAAACTCGAAATAAAAAAATTATAAAAAAAAAAGAGGGAGAGAACACAGATACATATAAACACAGAAGATATGTAAAACCACAAACTAAGGTATGTATGGAGTGGGGGGAAGTTGGGGTTGTTGACCAGTGACATAACATATTATTTTGTGCAACCACACCCGCAACAACAACGCCCGACGAAAAAAAGTCTATAGCCAGAATTCAAAAGGCGACAAACGATCATTCAAAAACGAGTAGCTAAAAGCATCAACAAAAGCATCCGGAGAACAAAGTGCCTACACATTTACCAAAATGACTTCGTCTTTGAACAGTAAAGCCACCACCTATGTTCGTTACGGGATAACAAGATGGTTAGAAATTGTTTACCCCCAACTCAATAGCTCTTTTGATATTGCAAAAAAAAAATTTTCTTTTTATCAATATACTGTTTCTTATTCACACAAATCTCCATTCCATAATGGATAGTGGCAATAATTAAGAAAGGTTGCCTCGGTTCAGATTATTATATGCACCATATACAAGAACATAGAATAAGTGCGAAGGANTAAGAAAGGTTGCCTCGGTTCAGATTATTATATGCACCATATACAAGAACATAGAATAAGTGCGAAGGAAGAGAGATGATACAATAAAATTTCTGGCCAAGGGGTTGAAAGGAGAAAAGGATCAGAACATCTTGCAACAGAACCCTTAGAAACAAAACCATCACCTCTTACAGTCCAGTGAACACTCAAGATGGAATCAGTTTGATGGACATTGCAAATACAAAGAGAAGGGTAAAACATCATGAGCATAATAGGAAGGAAAATTAAAAACTTACAATGAAACAAAAAGGAGTGAAGTTTCCCCCTTTATGGGAAAGAATTTTTTCTCCTCGGGGTGGAGGTAGGTCAAAAACCATACAATTATCAACCCCAAAAATGGAGAGCAAACAAGGATTTGACTCCAAGTGCATTAATAATTATGCTCATATAACGCATGTTGCAAAGGAAAAAATTTGCTAAGTCTTACCTCTTCTCTTGCGCACTTCTCCTAGTTTATAAAGACTAGTCAATAAAGAAGATGCCCTTGGCATTATCCAAATAGAGCATAACCACCACTACCAAACAATGTGAAAAGCATTTGCACCCCTCATGCCTTTCAAATTCATCCTTAGCAATACAAGTCCTCATCATACTTGCAATTTGGACTGCACACAGAAAAAAAATAGATTCAGAAGGTCTACAACACATACCAAGGGGAAATTTTTCAAATTATGGAAAGCATAAAGTAGCAAACAGGGACATTTGATGCATTGGGTCTCGGATTTGTTGCAGCAAATGAATACATGCTAACAGCAGGAAAAGTACCACAAAGAAAAACACAAATATTGTGTTTGCCAAACACAAAGGAACTTTGCAGGGGGAAAAAAAGATGAATGAAAACAATTCATCAAATTGCCCATTCGTGCAGACAGATGAGAACAGGAGATAACAGAGCAGCAGCTGCGCCAACAACTTTTCTTTGCTAAGCCACTGATCAACAGTTAACAATCTACAACAGGACCACATTGCTCAACACTACATAAGACTTGAAACTCCCAGCTAAATTCATAAAAAAAAATGTGCCAAAATAACAGATATTTGTTGGCAGCAATTGTTGCAGTGAAATAATGCAATGCAACAATCCAAACTAATATGAACACCAGCAACAACCACCAGAGTAACATAATGCATTGCAACAATCCAAACTAATGTAAGCAACAGAAACAACCAAACTCTTCTCATAAATGTCATTCACAAAGCCCAAAGCTTAAAAAACAGGTGAGATGTGTAGCAAGTACCCTCAAACCAGGAATGTTATCAAATCATGAAAATAACAATGACGAAAAGCACACCAAACCAGGAACTTCACTTCTTACATTATAGTATCAAGCAAGAAAGTGAAAAAACCAGCAGTAGAAGGATTACAATAGTGTAGCATGCATAATTTCCAGAAGCAGCATCACAACGTTTAACAATCTATAGCAGGATTACAATTCTCAACACTGTATAAAATATCAACACTCCTTGCAGCTGAATTCATGAAAAAGGTTAGTGTGCCAAAATAACCTGAATTTGCTAGAAGCAATGGTGAAAACATGTCTGCACAGTAAGGCAACCAATCCAAAGTAACATGAACACCAAAAACAACCAAGCAGCACTCCTAGAAATGCCATACACAAAGCTTGATGTTGATGATCAATGGAATGACCGAAACAAATAGAAAGGTAGGCCAGAAGAAAGTGAACAAACAATGAGGCTACTCATGATTAGAAGCATCTTCAGACCTCTAAAACCAACAAGGTGTCGGCTGAACCATGAGCAACAGAGAGAATAGGCCACAACTTCCCGCACACTGAACAAAGTTGATCACCCAAAAAAGCCGAAGAGAACACCATACCAGCTGCAACTTCACTTGCTAAAATATCAGTATCTCACAAGAAAGTTAAATAAAAAAACCCAGAAAAACAATTGTATGTACTTGCTTGAAAGAAAGTATCGTATCACCAATTGTTTTGGGTCAGAAGACAACACTATTTGCTTGACCATGAGACCGTACATACCTTTTTTTTTTTTTAATTTTGATAGGAAAAAAATACATTATATTAAAAGAAAATTAATAGTACATCGAACAAGTTGGATAGTACTGTACATATTTGCTATTACGGGGAGTGCATCCATCCACAGATTCCTTAGCTAGTGATGCTCGAATATTCAGAGAGTCCTACAATCTTATATACAACAGAAATGACGAACAAGGGGCTGGTGCATTTTCTTCCTGGATATTTCAAGTTACCGACAATACATGAAATGGCAGAGGGTGTCACGAAGTGGGAGAAGTGTATGCATTATGGAAGCAAGAGCTACAAAAGAGCTTGTGTTGGCGTGATCCTGCAGATATACTGCAACGACCAGTTATGCAGGTACATGGATCTCAGACCAAGAAGGAAGGGACGGTTTCTCTTTGAGATGTTTGCGCCCTATGGTCCTCTCCACTATGCAGGCCTGAATGGATCCAAGTAGTTTCGGCAATACTTCAGAGATTTATCATAAACCATTTATGCTATTTACTATCACTGTATTTTCTCTTCCAGAAGACAGCGGGGCTTAAGGAAATAGGAGACCTTAAGTAACCTTCAACATCAACAATTTTGCTCAAACCAGTTGATCTTAAAACTAAAAAGTAAAAAGAATATTTGTAAAGCCATGCTCTGTCTTCACTCCAAACCCCCCACTCAGATCTTACATGTAGCATCTAATACTCCAACAATGTTCCGTTGTCTCAAAGTTGCATGCATCATTCACGCTCGCAACATGAGATATATTGAATTCTGCTCTTTCTGCAGAGAAAATCTTCAATGCTCTGGCACCTGAACCACATCAAGCGACATTACTTTGTCACAGACCAAAGTTTTTTAGGATAGCTGTCGCCTTTTTACACACCAACGTTCCTCAGTCCCCCTTTCCCAGGTGCCCGCATTCACTTGTACATTGGGAGAATGACATATTGACTTCCTGCTCAATCTCACCTGCGCAAATCTAATTTATAAGCAANAGAGAAAGAAAAGAAAAAGAAAAATGTCATCACAAATGGCAAACCTCTTCCTATCTTTATTTGTTGTGGTAGTGGATTTTGGAAGTGAAAGAGTCCACTAAACTGGACAACAGCACGAGCATAAGAAAACAACACAGGATCTAACAAAAACAGAAGTGAGAACCATTGTACCATTCCCACAACAAAAGTATATAACTGAACCAGACCAGCTGTGTGTGCACCGGTGTAGTCTTGCATTTATTCACCCATACTATAAGTATATCCACTACAAAACAGCACAACATGCAGAAATAAGAAATGGGAAACAGCATCAAAAAAAGGAAGGGAAGCAAAACATCAAAAAACATATCTATAGCAGCTGCACCAGAAACATAGCCTTTCCCCAACTTCCTTACAACAGGAAATGGAACAGATACAACAACATTTTACATAACAATCGAACGTTTTGATTCACAACACAGTAAGTAACCATATATAAATGGAAACATGTGACATATTCCAGTGAAATGCCTGAATCAAGGGTATGAGAAATATTATGACACTTTTGGTACATGAACATAAATAGAGAAATACTCCAAAAAAATCATATAAATAACAGCAAAATCAAACACATCACCTGATACATTCCTATGAAAATGGGCAGGATGTAAATCACTAAATGTCATAATACCATAGGTACACTAGATAAATCAATTTTGAAATAAATTCCCAAAAAACTAATAATTGCAAAAAGCGAACGAGTAAGCCAATCATGAGAACACAATCCAAACAGTTCTCTCTCCTAGCTGCAAACAACAAAAAATAGAGAAGAGCGATACCAGCATCATGCCATAGAAAAAGGAAATAAGAAATAAGAAAAAATATTGTCACAAAAAGGGAACCACTTTCGCTCATAAGTTGTGGAAGAAATACTTTAGTGGGAGATGATGGAGGTTGGAAACCAAAGGACCCAAGACAACCAACAAGATACTCTAGCACAATTATAAAAAAAAAAAANATATAGACCTACAGATCCTCTCATTAAAGTCAATCATCAATTGAATAGTGGAGTTAGTTATCCTCTCAGTCAGTTCATGCATGATCTTCAAACTTCTCATCTTGAAGTTGTTTATCATATTTTGACCATTTGATATCAGCTCTAACAAAAAGGATTTTACTCTCCAAACATGGTTACTTGAAGTTAGAAATATTCACTGATGCAAACCAGGCAGTTTCTGTCAATAACAGGCAATCTACTTTGGGCTATTGCAATTTGATAGGATGAAACCTTATCACTTGGCAAAACAAAAAATAAGCAGTGGTAGTTAGGGCTACTGCTGAGGCTAAATATAGAGTAATGGCTCATAGAATTGGTGAGCTTATGTAGCTTAAAACCGTACTGGGAGAGCTAAGAATTCATGATGATGGGCCTATGAGACTTTACTATGATAATAACGCTACTATCAATATTGTTCATAATCCAATTCAACATGATAGAACCAAACATGTTGAAATTGACCAACATTTTATCAAAGAAAAGCTGAACAAAGATTTAATTTGCATGCTTTTTGTGAAATCAAATAACCAATTGGTCGATGTTTTCACCAAGGGACTTGGTAACAAATTTTTTCCTCCTATTNGATAATGCGCTTACGAAGAGGGAAAAGAGAAACTTTAAAACAAATAAAGTAAAGTGAAATGACGACACCACTTCTCAAACCCAACTTATCCAATGGCTTCTACATGCAGAACTTAAGGCTAATGTGAAAAGAAGGTCTTAAAAATGCATCTTGAGATTGGAACTGTTTTCAAACCATGAAACTTCAAAGTAAAGTGAAATGACGACACCACTTCTCAAACCCAACTTATCCAATGGCTTCTACATGCAGAACTTAAGGCTAATGTGAAAAGAAGGTCTTAAAAATGCATCCTGAGATTGGAACTGTTTTCAAACCATGAAACTTCAAAGCAAAAGAACTTTATTGGTTATTTGAATCCTCTTCCATGTGCAGCGGAGGCACCTAAATACTCTTCTACAAGGAATACTATTCAAATTATCTCAGGATTATTATTCAACAATGGAATGGATATGTTTTCAGATATGGGGAATGACAAAAATGTATAACACAAATTCAACAAGCCAGCATGGATGAAAATAGAAGTTATTTTTTTACCAAAGGAATAATATTTTATGGCACCTAATGGGTGCCTAGTGCGGAATCAAAACATCCTGTAGCCATCAGATATGGCTTGATCTGCTATAACTACAAGGCCATTGGTGAATCAACTAATAATTCAATTATTATACTTAATATTACCTGTGCCTGTAGTTTTGTCTTCTCACCATCCAAGATGGCAATTGTCTCTTTGGTTGAGTTCTGTCAAGGACGAGGGATTGAAAATCAGATCAACGAGTACCTTTCTTGAATTCTTTATCGTCATTAAAACAAAATAAAGAGGGAAAAACTTCAGCTGATAACTCCTACTCATTAATGTTCATCCACACTATAACAACTATAATTTAAAAGGAGGGGGTCTGAGAGAAAAGCAAATTAGTCAAAGATTTCAGCAAAAACCTGCACCAACAAAATTGCCATGCTAAATAGGTGGTTATCATTTTGAGATATCAGGAGCACTTAACAGTCTAGAGGTCATGTAAGAACAAAAAAGGAGATAAGATCATCAAAAGTTCAAAACAGTGCCAAAGAAACACACATATAATAAAGCCAAAGTTCTTTTCCTTTTCTTTAAAAAAAAAATAAGTCAATTTATCAAATAGAAACGGTGCAAGTCGCAGATATGGATTTAATTCTTATTGGCAGAAATAAGACATAACATTTGGAACTGAAAAAAGGAGGACAGGATCATCTTTTGATTTCATAAACAAAAGTTATTTTTTGAATAGTCTGATCTAGAAAACATGGTCCTTTCAATATCTAAAAAGAACCAAAATATAAAAGCCATACAAATTTGATTATTTGCAAAAATGGCGAAAGGTCAACTTAATTCAACAAAGTCTTCTCCCAATATTTTGTAGGCCCTGTCATGCCATGAAGCTCTATTAAAGGTCATGTTTTTAGTTAAACCTAAAAAACACGGACACGGGACACGATACAATACGACACGACGCGAACACAACATTTCTAAAAAAATTAGAATATGGACATGTTGTGGACACATTACAGATAATTGTGTTTTATATATATAATTTATCACAAATATAGTGGTAATGATATATTGTTCATAAAAAAAATCAGTATTTTATGATAAATAAATGTTGTCTCTAGTCATTTGGTGTGAATATTTAGACTAACATCATAATAATAAATAATTATCAATTTACTTTTGTAGACGTGTACTATACATATATAATTTAAATGATTGCTCTCATCTCAATTGTTGTTTTCTAAATCTTTTATGTATCTTTTACTTTTGTTATTATATTTTTAGTACAATTTTAACATGTCTAATCTTGGTAATTGTATGTTCTCTTATAGTATAAGACAATTAAGAATCAAAATTTTAAACTTATTAATCACATGTCAACATATGTTTATTGTTTAATAGTAGAAACGGTTTAGAATAACCATATGACATATGAGAGAATAAACACATAAGTTCAAACCATAATAGTGACATGTGATGTGATTAATAAGTTTAAAATTCACCCATAACATATACATCAACTTCTTGAGAGTGTCCGTGCTTTATAGAGTTAAACCATAAGTTATCTTTCTTTTTTTTTTTATTTCATTTAAGTTAATTTGGTCTTTCTCTTCTCCTATGTTTATTGCCAATAACTATCATATCACTCTTTAACACAGGTGCTATAGTATGCCGTCTATAAATATATTCAAACCACCTAAGTCAATTCACCCTTAACTTATATTTTATATTTGCGACATCTATTTTTTATGGATATATTTATTCCTAATTTTATCTTTCCTAGTTTTACCACAACATACAACTAAACATTCTCATTGTTGACACAATTAATTTTTGAACATATTTGTTAGTTGCCCAACATTCAGTACCACAAAGCATAGCGGGCCTTATGGATGTTCTATAGAACTTTCCTTTTAACTTAAGTGGTATACGTGTATCAGATAATATACCGGATGCATTCCTCCATTTAATTCATCTTGCATTACACTACAGTGGTAGAACCTAAAAAGAAGGGAGGGGAAAGGCAACTATCCCTACTAGTTTCTTCCCTTTCTTTTCCTTTTGTGTTTGAAGGGTGAAGACAAATATGTCTACAAATTTGCAAATATCTTTCAATTGGTAACAACTACAAATGGGAAAAACTTTATGCATCATGGCACGGAGAAGCATTTACCTCCTTTTGGACCCAGTAATCTCTATCTTTGTCCATCTGTTTAACTTTTTCTTCTAAGCTCACCTGATATACAGAGTAGAAGTTAAGTTACTGAAGCAAATCAAATTCTCCTGCAAGTGACTAGACAGAATACCAAATGACCAATAATAAACAAAGAAACTCCATAAGATACAAAAACAATAAGGGACAAAAACTAATTCCCAAGTGAGGAAATTAAAAGTATGTGGCAACTTTATAGTTCAAAACCAATTACCCGTTTCAAACTCAGAGTGGCTGTTTCATCAACTAACTGACTAATTTTCTCCTCAAATTCATCCTGAAAATATCAAGACATTAGATTAAAGCAATTAATAGACATCAACAGATCTTCCCCAAATTTCATGTGGCCAAAAAGTAAATGGTGTTATTTATGAAATTCTGGGAAAACAAATGTCAAAGTTAAACAGCTCTCTGAGTTTTAGTGTCTTTCAACTTCCATATAGCCCCAATCATTCCTCTAACATCACCTGTTTTTGAAGCCAGCAATCTTTTTCACTTTGCAATCGTGAAATTGTCATCTCGAGACAAGCCCGCAAATTGAATAAAAAATATAAATTAAGCCTATTATAAACTCCAATACTACAACATCAAACTTCCTCCCATTAAATTAAGTTTCATTACATCTTTTTAAATGTATGCATCCTCTCTCTTTTGTAGTTTTTCAAGTTTCTCTTCTAGGCTAGCCTGCAAAAGCCCACTTGGTCACTCGTTGCTTCTTTTTGTTGTCTTCTTAAACAAAAAAATTGCAGAAACACAAAATTCTATATCACAATACCGATCTATTCCTCCATCAAATCCAGCTTATATTACCTCTTTTTGTAAGTGTGCTGCTTTTTCCTGTTGTAATTGGTCAATTTTCTCTTCTAGGATAGCCTGTAAAAGCACATAAATGCAATCAACTGAGTTGCAAAAAGTTAAGGGAAAAAGAAAATAAAAGTGTGCATGAGGCATAAATTAGGCATATCCACAGAGTTCTATGACGCAAAATCAATCAGTTCCTTCTTAAGATAAAGTTTTCATTACCTCTTTTTGCATTCGAGCATCTTTTTCTTTTTCTAATTGTTTAATTTTATCTTCGAGGATAGCCTGTAGAAGCCCAGAGAGTTATAAACTGCTTTTGAAAAATATAAATAGAACAAACAATTTTGCACATGAAAAAGTAATTTATCACAGTGCCAATCTAGGTCCCCTTTAAGTTTCATTTCAATCACCTCTTTTAGTATTTGTGCATCTTTTTTGTTTTGTAGTTGTTTAATGTTCTCTTCCAAGATAGCTTTACAGGAATTTATTTTTTTTTCAGAAAGTTTTACATCAACTTATTTACTAATGGAAGAAAGCTAAAATTGCATATGAGAAATAAATTAAGCACAATTACCAAGTTGTTATTGCAATAGCAGTCTGGTAGCACATTAATTGAAGTGCATATTACCTCTTTCAGTACTTGGGATTCCTTTTCCTTTTGTAATTCTTTAATTTTCTCAGCTAGGCTAGCCTGTATAAGCCCAAAAAGGCAAAAAATCACTAATTACTTCAGAATGATGAAATTAAATAGTCATGCAAATTTGAGACTCTATCCACACCTCTCTCGCCAGCAAGCATTGTTTCTCCTCAGGAAAAATTGACTATAAAACAAAATTGAAGTTAGCACAAGAACATTAAGAAATGGAATAAAGAGAACCCAAAGAATTTGAGCAGCAAAAAAATGTTCAGAAAATGATGGCACAAATCACCTTACTCTCTTTATTAAAAATAAATACATGTTGAACAAATTAATTAACTGAAAAACCATGCGAAGTTTTCAGCCAGAACAAGTATAAATGCAAATGGGTTTACACAAGCCAACTTTAAAGGGTTCAAAAAAATCTCTGATAAAAAATAATATCAGCAAATTTCATAAGTCACTCAATCTCAAACTTGACTCAGATGGAATAGTTCCTAATTCAAAAAACAAAACACACGCTATTCACTACTTGCTGAAATCTTCCCTACAGAAATACATTTCCAACCAATTGAGTAGTTCTACACGCATGCATTACACTGCCAACTTACTTTGATTTCGGAGCAATACTTCATTTTGATTTAATAAGAAACTTACGTCCTTAGTGTCATTGGCATGATGTGCATCCAGATCCACGACTGGTTTTCTCACAACATCATTCTGAAAATCTGCAGCCTCAGAAACTTGGCCAAAACTACTCTGCCCATTCTCGGCGGCATGATACTCATCAACAGAGGTCGATTCTATGACACTCACAATAACACTGTCTGCTGTTTTTGTCGGCTTGTTCTTCTTTTTCTTATTTTTCTTCTTCTTCTTTTCATCCTCCATTCCTGAAGCTCAAATCTAACTATGGAGCTAAAAATTTGATGGCAAATTCCTTCAACAAATTTGTTAAATCCACCAACTTTGAATACCAGATAAGATCTTCACACTTCTTCACCCTAAAAACACGTAACCGCTATACAATCAAACTCGTGATTACACACACACACACACACACACACACACACACACATATATATATATATATCATAATTTTATCCAAATCAGCCTAAGATCTCGAATCAGACCTACAACAAACATCCACACACATATATAAACAAATATCTATTTACCCACAATATATAAAAAGACTAAATCAGCATCAAATTTGTGCCCACGCAAAAACAAATCTATGTGACAGGAACCAAAATATTTATAGGTGAATAGAAATCAAAAATAGAAATTCGTGGCCGCATAAAACCCCGAACATATATACATGCATTACAGGTAGCGATGTGGGAAACAGATAAACTAAAATAGAAAATGATGATTTTCAAGTACGGTTCATAATCTCCCTTCAATTTATACCATAAATAAAACACAATAGTGGGTTTATTTAGGAAGATTACGTGCAGATCCAGATGCTCTTTGGAGTTGAGTGCAGTAACGAATTCGGGAGGCTTAGGGTATTTCCTTTTTTTTTTTTTTATTCGCTTGGAATTGAAGCAAGTCAGTAGACGCAAGTTTCCCGTGGGCTTTCTTCTTCTTCTTCGTGTTGGCTTGGGCGAGGATATGAGGAAAGGGAGCGAGTGTGTAAAGTAAAATGGCATTCATTCAAATGAGGAGAGACAGGGGAAGGTAAAAATAAATAGGGTAAATTACATCCCACGCCCCACGTTTTATCACTTAATCAGTTAAATGCCTTCGTATTTGACTTTCGTCTAAGATATGTACACGTAACTGTTTATAATTCTCGATATTGACGTCATCAGAACATTTATATAATAAAGTAGTTTATAATTTAAATTTTAAAAATAAATAAAATTATTTTTATTTTTTGTAGTACAAATCGTTTTTAAATTTTATTTTAAAATTAATGTAACGACTAATATTAATATTCTAAATTTAATAGAAAAAATAGGCCCCTAACTGTATGGTAATGGTGATTTTTTTAAAATATTTCTACGAATTATTCTTTTAAGTACTTTAAAAAAAATAGTGTTTGAAACTGTCTCACTACTACCTCTGTTGCCGCCGCTGCCACCCCCACCACCACTGCCGCCAATACGGTCATTGTCACCCACCACAACCATCATCGTCTCCTACCACCATCACCGTCGTCCACCACCTCTCACCCCACTATAACCGATGTTTAAATTCATTTATCTCTCCTGTATATTTGTGATTTGATTTTGAATATGAATACAAATATATTTATTGTCTATCATTTTTTATTAATCCGTATCTTCAGACACAAGCAATAACTAGTGTAGATAATAAAATACAATACAATTTAAATTTTAAAAGATAAATAAAATAATTTTTATTTTTTGCGGTTGAGATCTCTTTAAATTTTATTTTTAAATTAATCCGACGACTAATATTAATACTTTAAATTTAATAAGGAAAATAAGACTCTAAGGATGTATTTGGATGACTTTTTTAAAATGCTTCAAGAACTTATAATTTTTTTTAACTACTTTAAATAAAAAAAGTAGTGTTTGGAACCGTCCCACCCCCACCCCCATTGCAGAACCAAAAAGTCTCCAAGGCCTATTGTTAAGAGTAGTGAATTACTATTCTCATTAACAGCATTTAACCAACCGGGCAACCATATGCTTCGACCCGCGTTGAATGCCGGTCCATTCGTTGAAGATAAAAGTACGTCGAACCCATATGAAGTTTTACCATGAGCAAATTATATCCATTGAGCAAATATAGGTTCGATCAAGATTTGTTTCTCCCCCACCATTACCACAATAATCATCACTACTATCTCCACCCCACCACCACCCCAACTACCACCACCGTTGTCGTCCCACCATCAACCTCACCGCCCCATGACCATCAACACTGCCATCACTACTGCCGACGCCACCACTCACCACCATTGTCATTTCATTCTTATATTTATTATCACTATCACCATCATCTCACAACTATCGTTGCCACCCACCAGCACCATATTGCTTCCAACCATCACCCGTCGTCAACAAACACTATCATCCACCCCCCACTATACCTACCACCACCACCATTCACCGCCCACCACTACCACCACCCACTGCACCCACACCCACCACTGTTATTCGCCACCACCCCATCATATTGTCGCCTAAAATCATCCGTTATCACCCACTACTGTCGTCATCCCACCACCATGATTGACAACAACCATCACCGTCGCCCACCACCACCCACACTCACACCCACCACCACCACCGCTATCACCCATAGCTGTCACTATTACTATCACCATTGCCACTCACAGCTACCAATACCACCACAGTCATTATCATCCACCACAACCATAACTGTCACCTACCACCACCACTGTCGCCCACCACCTCTTACCCCCACTACAACCGATGTTTAAATTAATTTATCTTTGTTCTATGTTTGTAATTTAATTTTGGATATGAGTACAAATATATTTTTTGTTAACTATTTTTTTTATTACTATGTAACTTCAGGTACAGACAATAACTAGTATAAATATAATTTATCAATCTACCCTTTATATTGGACCCACTCTCAGTTGGTTACCCTACCAAAGCCAACGTAACCCATTAATCAAGTTAATTAACCTTAGAAATTAAATCCATTAACCAAAGCGACTGACCCTTAATTAACATAATTAATTTCATTATTTGTATTTTATGTGTTTATATAATTAACTAGTCTATCACAACAAATTACAACACCAAATTACAGCTCTATGGTTCACCTTCCTCATTGTTCATACCTTAAAACCTGATTAACCTTAATCAATATATAAATTAAAACAATAATAAAGTCAAATTAGTGTGATAAAATAACTAAAAACTAACAATTAAAGTCAATTAGGGTTTGTGCAGTAATTAAGATTTTATGTGTGTTATGTTTATAATTTACAGATTTAATGCAAAATTACTACAGAATACAAAGGAGCAAAGTAGGGAAGCTTGAAAATACCAAGGCTAAAGTGTAATTAAATCAAATGAAGAGTCAGCATAATGCAACTTGTAAATTCTAGCCAAGCTCCATCGTCCGGACGGTCACCCTTGATCCTATTTTCATGCCTTCCACCTCTTGCTTCTTCAAACGACTATAAATAGCCATATCCCTTTCAGACTTCAGCCAGCCAAACCCAAGAGAGAAAAGAAAAGAGAAAAAGAAAGGAAAAGAGAAAGAAAAAGAAAAAGAGAAAGAGAAAAAGAGAAGTTGCAAAAATGATCCGGTCTGTGAAGCACTTCAGTCTAAATTTTACATTTCTGTTGTATCTTTCTATTCGGATAGTTGAACTGCTGTCACCTTTTTTTCTTAATTGATAATAAAGGTGATTGTGTTTAAGTTGTTTCTTGTGAAAGACATTTTAGATTTTGCCTTTTAATTTTAGTTATAATGAAAACTGATTGCACTCCTTGCTTGTCTGTAGCAATGGGCCGTGAGTAGTTTCGTATATCCTCTAGTGAGAGGTAAATATATGTATAATACTAGTTAAATTCTGAAAATACTTATGTGTTTATATCTTTATATATCTATATATTATATGCTTCATGCATGATACAATGATGTACGTACTTTCGGTGCTGTGCCTGAAAGTATGTCATCAGTGCATTATCAACCTGCCGGTAAAACAACCATGGCATTCCTATCAGTATGACTAGTCCTCCACCGGAACGCTGAGGATGTTAACTGATGCATGGTACAAAACCTAAATGATCCTCCTGGATTATTAGGGTTTAACTTATATATATATATAAATAGGGGTGATAATTTTTGACACGACACGATAACCCGATACGAAACACGATACGAATAAATGGGTTTGGGTTGACTAATTTTTTGACACGATCCGTATATGACACGACCCGTCAACACGAAATTTTTATGGGTCGTGTTCGGGTTCAACCTGCTTAACCCGAATTTACCCAAATTGACCCGTATATTTAATCGGGTTGACACAAACCCGCTGACCTGTTTTGACCCGGAATTGACCTACCACTATATAAAACATTTAATTGTTTTCCCCAAACCCTAACTTCATTTTTTCCTTCCCTCTGTCCAGCCGCCTCCCTCTTTCCCTCTGTCCAGACGTTTCCTTTCCTTTATTCTCTCTGTCCAGACTCCAGTCGATCTCTCTTGGCGACCAGCGAACCAGACCAGGTTAACTCTCTCTCTCTCTCGCTCTTTCTTTTTCTATATCTCTTCCTTTTGGTGTTGTTTTTTATCTTGGCGTATATTTTTGGCGATCTCTCTTGGCAACCAACGGAACAGAGCAGTTTGAAATTGTTAATATGGTGAAACAGAGCAGCTTGAAATTGTTATTGCATTTAGTATGGCCTCTAGCTTGAGATAATTACTCATGTACACAGGTTTTGTTATTGTTTACTAATTTGCTATTTCACAAATCTCAAAGCCAGTGAAAAGGCTCGGGTTTGACGGTATCATCAAACCCTTGCTACACTTACCCTGATTTTTTCACTTATTTCAATAGCCATACACTTATCCTGATTGCAGTATTCAAGTGGTCTGTATTGTTGGAAACAAATTTTTGGGTGATGCTTTGTTTTTGTTGTTCATTGGAATTCCGGATTAAGCTTGATCTTTGTTGGAATTTTTAGAAACTAAGATCATGTTCTATAATCATGTTCTATGCTTTTAGAATGATCATTTTGTTGTGAGTTCCAACCTGATCTATGTCCAGGGCTTATGATTTTGGGCTGAGCATGTTCATTACTTTATGTGTTATGCCCAAATCTGTGATTAAGCATGTTGATGCTTCGTTGGCTTTGGAGGATATTCTTTATGTTTTTCATATTCTGATTACCCTCCTTATTTTTTGCGGTGCTACTCAAAAAAGTCCACTCGAGCTTTGATTCTCCAGCAGCTTGCGTCTAAAGGTGATAACAGTAAAAGTTTTATAGCTTTCTATGTAATGTGTCTGTGTAAGTGTAATGTGTGCATCTTGCAATTGGAATTTATTTTCAAGATTATACGTAACTAAAAGCTTTCTATTTTAGTCCTAAAATAGATTGTCATGCCCCAAACCAAATCAACTCTAACTTTTTGTTCATTACCTGAAACTCTAACTTTTTGTTCATTACCTGAAACTTCCACTGTGTACACTCTAACTTGATGTGTCGATCACCTGAAGCTTTTTGTTCATTACGTTTTTGAATGTTCATTACGTTTCTAATTTCTGGAATCTCATTACGTTTCTAATTTTTCTAATTGTCCAGAAAAATGGAGGATACATCATGNTTGTTCATTACGTTTTTGAATGTTCATTACGTTTCTAATTTCTGGAATCTCATTACGTTTCTAATTTTTCTAATTGTCCAGAAAAATGGAGGATACATCATG